TGTAACTGAAAAAAACTGGTATCCCCGGCAGAAGATACATCATGCTAAGAGAAAGTTAGCAGGTGCCAATCCAGCAGTTATTACCTGGTAAGACGTTATTTGTGGAAGAAACAAACACACACCAACACACTGGCGTTTCCGGAAGAACCAATGAACACCATATGTTTATCCTCGGCCTGTGGTGTCGGCACTGACAGATGGAGGGCCACGGCCTGAGGAGGCCGGCCTCTCCACCGCCCTGCAAGGTCCTAACTCTGGAGCCCTTCCCAGTCTGCCTGGGGTCCCTGCACCGCATTCCTAGACTGTTGCATGAATATCTTTACCTGCCCGAGGAGATTTAGGTTTTAAACTTACTCTTGTCCTTTTTCAGGACAAATGGGACCCTGGCGGCATAGCCCCGAGGTGCGGAGAGCACGGTGGCGGCTCATTAACAAGTGTGCAAATCGGGTTACCGTTAACACAGCTTTCACATTTTTCTGGTTGAGGTCTAAAACAAACAGGAATTTGTAGAAATGATTCACAAGAAGGAAAAAGAGTTGGACTTTCCCATTTAATTAACAATAAAAGGCTGTCTGTGGTCAGCTGTTTTTCGACAAAGGTGCCGAGACCATTCGGTGGTCTTTCCAACAAATGGCAAAGGAATGAAGGTGGAACCTCCACCTCCCACCACATACAAAGTTAATTCAAAGTGGATCAAAGAGCTAACTGTAAGAGCTAAAACTGTAAAATACTTAGGAAGAAACACGGGTAAATCTTTAGGACCTGGGATTTGGCAGTGACAATTTGGCACTCTTAAGTATAACAGGAAAAGCACAAACAAGAAAAGGAAAAAACAGATAAATTAATCAAAATTGAAAACTTTAGTGCTTACCATCAGGAAAGTAAAAATACAGCCCACAGAATGGGAGAAAACATTTGAAAGTCATACAGCTGCTAAGGGACTTGTGTACAGAATACATAAAAAACCCTTACCGCTGAATAATAAAAAGACCACCCAATTAAAAAATGACCATAGTACCTGAACGGACGTTGCTCTAAAGAAGACACACAGATGGCCAACAAGCACATGGCAAGATGCTGACCATCATTAGTCATCAGATAAATGCAGTGGGATTCCACTTCACACCCACTAGAACTGTTGGAATCAAAAAATGGAACATAGCGAGTTGTTCTGAGGGCTGGAGAAGTCGAAGCCCTCGGTGTTTCTGCTGGGAAGGTAAAATGCTGCAGCCACTGTGGGGAGGTGTGGCAGTTCCTCAAAGAGTTAAACGTGGGGTACCATAGGACCCTGCGTTCCATTCTGGGTACTAACCCAAGCGAAGTAAAAGTGAGTCCACACAGACACGTGAAGACAGGCGTTCCCAGCATCCATCACGTTCTGGTTTCCTGCAGATCGAATCTCTTGGCTTTAAGGTTATGAGCAACAAAATATTCTGCGTGGTGAGAGGGAATGTCTGGTTTGGACAGGAAAAATCGTGTGTGGTTTGTGTCTTCATGTTTGTTTAATCTTTTTTCCAGTGATGAGTTACTTCTGGGCCATGAGAAGGTGCCTGCCTTTGAGCATTACATCGCTGTAGCGCAAGGAAGCAGAGATCACAACATCCGTGCCCAGGAGCCAGGCAGTGGACTTTCAGAAGAGGCCCAGGTGAAGTGCTTGATTGACCAGGCAACAGACCCCAACATCCTTGGCAGAACTTGGGAAGGGTGGGAGCCCTGGATGTGAGGTCCTGGGGAGTCAGCAGAGAAGGGGCATGCGTGTGGAGAAAGTGTCCTAAACTTTGATCCAGGCAATCAGTGGGCTCATCGTCCCGAAGCACCAGAGTTGTATCCCGAGTTTAATCTAGGTCATGATGAAGAAGTGAATGCTGGCATGGGTGAATGACTAGGCCATAATCATAGGTCAGGTTAGGGTTAAAATGGATGTAGAAGGGCAGACTCGTGCAGAGCACGGAATCGAGAGCGGAGCAGATGGCGAGTGCTGTGAGCGGACCGAGAGCCGTGGGAGTTCACTGTGCACGTGAGCGTCTGCGACCTGCCTCACGGCACCATGGAAATCACACCCGGAAGACTTCGTCCCGGAGACTCTGTGAGAGTCACATTAGCAGCACAGGAATAAGGTCAGGCTATGATTATGGCTTATTACATTTAGAAATGATTGTATTTGACATTTTAGGATATTTTTGTAGGTTTTTCCCTTTCACATTTTTCTCTTCTAGTTTTGACATTTTATGACAGAACTGTTCTCTAGAAGGGAAAGTGTTTAGGGGAGGGAAAAACCTTGGTCTCAGCACTCACTTTTGCTACTCTGATCACAACGGGAAGGTGGATGAAAGAGCTTTGCATCCCAGACTCAGGAAAGCTTCAGAAATTCCAAGTATGAAAGTAGGGATAGCACTAAGCATTCGGGTTCTAGGAAAATAAAAGAAATCCCTGTTTGAAATGAATCCTTATTTGGAGATAAAACATGCGTTCTAGAGCAGCCAGACCAAGTTACAGAAGCAGCTTCCTCTGCACTCGAAGGGCCTCTGTCCCCACCCGGAGCCGATTTCAGGTGGGCTTTGAGCTTTTTGTTACTGTTTTTTCAAACATTTCTAGTTAGAAACTCTTGTATGATTTTGGGAAATAGTAAGTCTTAAGACTAAGGAACATTAAAAGTTTTTTTCCCAAAGTAGTGTATAGCTTTTATGCAGTTTCACAAGCAAACACTTCATCTTATAATTATTTCATTGTATTGCTTGACAAACTTATTCTGATAGATACAGGTTGAATGCATTATGGCATTAATAAGAAACGTTTATGGGGACTTCCCCAGTGGTCCAGTGGTTAAGACTCCATGCTTCCACTGCAGGGGGCTTGGGTTCGATCCCTGGTCAGGGAACTGAGACGTCCAGCATGCTGTGCAGCGTGGCTGAAACATTTAAAGAAAAAAAAACAAAAAAATTCCAAGTTCCCTTAGGACGGGACGCCTACACACAGCTTCCAGTCGACAAAATAAAATCGTGGGGAAAGAGTAAAGATGTAAACTGTAAACACTTTCTAAAATAAAAATTATTTCATCCACTTGCAAGAATTTTTGAAGTGCTGTTGATGACCAGTAACTTCCGCTAAGATAGGTGTTTGTGAACTTTGAAATATTGTCTGTATATTGAAGTGACAGCACAGCTGTGGGGTTTGTACTTATTCTCTTTGAACATCATGAAATTGAAGAATTTAAGGACTGGCTTTTCAAAAAAGCAAAGGCCATTGGAATTTTGATAGGGATTGCACTGAATCTGTAGATGGCTTTAGGTAGTTTTGCTATTTAACAATATTAAGGCTTCCAGTCCATGAACACAGTGTCTTTCCTTTTATTTGTCTTTAATTTCTTTCAGCAGTGTTTTGTCATTTTTACTGGTTTTTGATGTTTCTACTTTTCAGTTTCCTTGTTTAAATTTATTCTTAGTATTCTTTTGGATGCTGCTGTATATTTGTAGATATTATGTATTTACAGAGTTTCCCAGTTTCCGTTTTGGATTGTCATTGCTGGTGTAGAGGAACACAGCTGCCTTTGTGTGGTGATCTTTTCTCTTGAAACTTTGCTGGATTAATTTATTAGCTCTAGTACTTACTTTGTGTTATCTTTGGGACTTTTCGTATACAGGATCATGTTGTCTGTGATAGAGACGGTTTTACTTCTGCTTTTCCAATTTGTATATTTTTTCTTTTTTTCTTGCCTGATTGATCTGGCTAGAACATCCAGTACAGTGTTGAATAGCAGTGGTGAAAGAGGGCATCCTTGTCTTGTTTCTGATCTCAGGGGAACGTTTTCACCTTTCACCAGTGAGTGTGATGTCATCTGTGGGTTTTCAGCAATGTCCTTTGTCGTGCTGAAGAAGTTCCCTTCTAGTCTTAGTTTGCTGTGTGTTTTTATCATGAAATGGTGTTGAATTTTGTCAAATACTTTTTTTGCATCAGTTGAGATGAACCTGTGTTTTTTCTCCTTTGTTAAAGTTGTATATTACAACATTCGATACTAGATTTTCTTTTTAATTTAATTTTTGGCCGCGTTGGGTCTTCGTTGCTGCACGTGGGCTTTTCTCTGGTTGTGGCGAGCAGGGGCTACTCTTTGTTGCGGAGCACGGGCTCTAGGCACATGGGCTCGTGGGCTCTAGAGCGCAGGCTCAGTAGTTGTGGCGCAGGGGCTTAGTTGCTCCGTGGCATGTTGGATCTTTGCAGGCCAGGGCTCGAACCCACGTCCCCTGCATTGGCAGGCAGTTTCTTAACCACTGCGCCACCAGGGAAGCCTGATGCTAGATGTTGAATCACCCTTGCAGTGCTGGGACAAATCCCACCTGGCCATGGTGAGAAATCCTTTTACTCTGAGGTTGGATTCCATTTCCTCGTATTTTGTTGAGGATCTTTGCATCAGTGCCCATAAGGGTTATTAGTCTATAATTCTCTTATGGGGCCTCTCTGTCTGGCTTTGGTATCAGGGTAATGCTGGGTTCATAGAACGAGTTCGGGAGTGTTCCCTTCTCTGATATTTTCTGGAAGAGTTTGAGAAGGATTGGTGTTAATTCTTTCAGGGTTTGGTACAATTCACCAGTAAAGCCATCCTTTTCTTTTGGGGAGGTTTTTTCTATTACTGATGAAGTCTCTTGTTGCAGATCTCTTCAGATTTTCTATTACTTGAGACAGTTTTGGTAATTTATGTTTCTAGGAACTTTTGATAAGTTGGCATTTTTATTTCTGTAAGGTAGATGATGTCCCCACTTTTTTTTTTTTTTTTTTTTTGGTGGTATGCGGGCCTCTCACCGTTGTGGCCTCTCCCCTTGCGGAGCACAGGCTCCAGACGCGCAGGCTCAGCGGCCATGGCTTACGGGCCCAGCCGCTCCGCGGCATGTGGGATCTTCCCGGACTGGGGCACGAACCCATGTCCCCTGCATCAGCAGGCGGACTCTCAACCACTGCGCCACCAGGGAAGCCCCCCACTTTCATTTTTGATACTAGTTATTTGAGTTTTTTTTTTCTGAATCAGTCTGGAAAGAGGTGTGTCAATTTTGTTGAGCTCTTCAAGGCACCAATGTTTGGTTTTGTTGCATCTCTTTTTCTGTGCTCTGTTTTATCTGTGCTTCTAATCTTGACTATTTTCTCAGTTTACTGGCATTGAGTTGAGTTTGCTCTTCCTTTCCTTAGTTCCTAAAGGGGTAGCGTTAGGTTACTCATTTGCAATCTTTCTTTTTTAATGTAGGCACTAAAGTGTGGTGAAATGAAATTTATATTTTAAGGCAGGACAAGAAAGATTTAAAAATTCTTCTTGTGTGTGTGTCCAGGTCTCCTCCATGCCCCCCTAACATGCAGTGTGTGTCGCATTGCACATTAACCAGAGCTCCTCAAAGGCGGAGCGGCCGCTCAACCACAAAGATCACTGTTCCTTTCCTTCTGATGCTAGCAGTGTAACTTCTTGAAAGAATAGCACTCTTTCCCAGCTCTGTTGGGGTCACGGTGACACGCTGCTCCTTTGTACGTGCTTACCTGGACTATGTATTGTGGTGACGTTTCTATAAAATACCAGTATGTCATTGTTATATACACGATCCTTCGTCTCAAAAATGTCTGACTGTGCCTTGGATTTCTAAACAGGTGGAACAGTTCTCAGAATCCTCAGTTTGGCTTGAATAAAATTCCCTTTTTTCTTTCTTCATTTGATTGTTGATTGAATTTTTGTCAACAAGTCTGACCATTGTTTTTGCTACATTCCTTAAATTTTGGTATGCTGTGTTTTTGTTTTCCTTTGTCTCAAAGTGTTTTCTAATTTTCCTCGTGGTTTCATTTTTGATTTGGGTGTCTTAAGACTATGGTGTTTAATTTCCACATATTTGGAATCTTTCACTTTTCCTTCTTTATGGATCTCTAGCTTTATTGCATTTGGTTAGAGAAGATATTTCGTAAGATTTTAATCTTTCTTAATTTATGGAGACTTGTTTGGTGGCCTAACATGTGGTCTATCCTGGAGAATGTTCCAGTGCACTGAGAGGAGTGTGCTCTGTGGTCGTGGGTGGAGAGTTCTGTGCGTGTCTGTTAGGTCTGGCTGGTATGTGGGGTTCAGGTCCTCTGTTTCCTTATTCTTCTGTCTAGATGTTCTGTGTGCCCAGTATTAAAATTGGGGTGTTGAGGTCTTCAGCTGTTAATGTAGGTCTGTTTCTCCCTTCAGTTCTGTCAAACTTTGCTTCCTGGATTTGGGTGGGGGTGGGTCCTGCTGTTTGGTGTGTGCATCTTTATAACTGCAATGTCTTTTTGATGGATTGACTTTATCAGTATATAATGCCCCTTTTTGGTCTCCTGTAACAGGTTGTGACTTAAGAGTCTATTTCCTGATACTAGTAGCCATGCCAGCTTTCTTTTTTTGTTTTGTTTTCATTTTATTTTATTAGTTTTTTAAACATCTTTATTAGAGTATAATTGCTTTACAATGGTGTGTTTGTTAGTTTCTGCTGTATAACAGTGAATCAGCTATATACATATCATGCCAGCTTTCTACTGGTTATTAATGCGTGGAAAACATGTTTCCGTACTTTCAATCTGTTTGTGACTTTGGCTCTAAAATGAGTCGCTTGTAGATAGTATATAATTGGCTTATGCTTTTATAATCCATGTTGCCAGTACCTCTGGTGAATTTAATCTGCTTAAATATAAAGCAACTTCTAAATTAGGGAGTACCTATTTCTATCTTATTTCCATTTGTTTTCTACGAGTTTCATCTTTTCCCCCCAATTTTTTCCAAAACTGTTTCCTTTTGTGTTTGATTTGGTTTTGCTAATGTATCATTTCAATTCCCACCTTCTGTGTGTTTTTAAGTTTTTTCTTAGTGGTTATTCTGATGACTATAATTAACATCCTGAATTGATAACAATATAGTTTGAATTGATACTGGTTCCAACAGCTTCGCAAAAACCCTGCTCCTGTACAGCTCTGTCCTCTCTCCCACTTGATGCTGTTACTGTTGCCATCACAAGTTACATCTTAGAATACTGTATCCCCATTAACATTAGATTTATAATTAGTTTTATGCACTTGTCTTTTAAATCATATAAATAAAAAGAGAAGTAACACACCAAGATTTATTTATATAGTTACGAGATTTCCTTAAACACCCAGCACCAAAAAGATCTCCTCCCGCACTTTGCAGGTTGGTTTTGGGCTGCTCCTTCAGTGCTCAGCCAGGCTGCCTGCGACTCCACTCCAGCTTTCACCTTAGAGCCCAAGGAGTGGTGTAAGTGTCAGTGTTGTCAGTACTCTTCTGAGCTCGTGTCAGGGTTTGGCGTGCAAATGCACTAGGCAGCCTTTGAAGCCCTCGTTCCCCCAAGGACCCTCCTCCGTAGCCTCCTCCCGTCTAGGTGGTTGTTCCGTCTGCTGCTCGCCCCAGCTGCCCGTGGATAGCATGGGTAGTCTTTAAATGCTTTTGATTCGTGCCTCCTGGAAGTGGCTGGAGCTGAAAGAGCAAAGCAAGGGAAGGCTCTGTGCCGGCCCCTCAGGTCACTACCAGACAGGTCAAATGCACAACGACATTTGTGCATTTAGAAGAGCAAGGTCCCTATGGCCACCCCACCCCTTGTGCCCAGAACCGGCAACCCACACCAGGGGCATGGTCTCTGCTGGCAGCTGGGAGCTGGGGTGGCAGGCAAGCACAGAACAGTGCTACTGCACTCACCGAGTTTTCCCAGCACCTTCCCCTGGTTTCTGTAAGTATCTGATCTGAATCCAGCATTCCAAAGACGTTGGTTCTGCCATTATTCTGCCAGCTTGTTGGTAGCTTCAGTGGAGGTACTGATTCTCAGAGGGCCCTACTCTGCCTTCTCCATGACATGGCTCAGATGATCTCCTCTGACTCATGGTTGTCAGGAACTTGCAGAGCTCCTGTGTGGAACTACTATTTGCAGATCCCTGGGCAAGGCACAGACGTGCACTGTATGAGAGGCCAACCACGAGGACTTTCCAGCTGAGAAGGGAAGGCGATGTTTGTATATAAAGGTCCGCAGTGTACAGTGAGAGAAACAGCCCCCCAGGGCGCTAGGAAGAGGCTGCCTGTGGCCAGGCCCAGAGGAGTAATGCGCTACAACAGCACTGCTTGACACCCACTTCGTGCAGTGATGGAAATGTTCTGAATCTGTGCAGTATGGCTGCCACATTGGCCATCAAGCCCTTTAGATGTGGCTGATGTGACTGAACACCTGGATTTTAAGTTATTTAAATTATAGTTGATTCTTTTTCTTCACACTAGTGACGTTCTGTAACATCAACACAGACACTGAACTGGTGAATACTGAACCAGTGCTCCAGGGGGAAATAGTTTAGATTATTGGGGGCCTCTGGTCACAACAGTCTCATTGACTGATCAGTACATAACCTTGTGTTACGTGTGTTATTTATTGTCGTGCTGTGTGTTACATCCCTAGGACTGGCCGACTTTATAACTGGAAGTTTGTACCTTTTGACCACTCACCCGTTGTGCCCATCCCTTGATCCCCACCTCTGACAACCACAGATCTGTGTGTGTTTGACATACGAGTTTGTTTTGTTTCGTTTTACATGCCACATACAAGTGAGGTCATACGGTTGTCTTTCCACGTCTGACTTATTTCACTTAGTGTAATGCCCTCAAGGTCCATCCGTGTTGTCGCAAATGGCAAGATTTCCTTTTTTATAGCTGAATAATATTCGTGCACACACACAGTTTGCCCTGCTATCCGAAAGTAGAGCGTTCCTGTGAAAACTTTCCTAAGCAAAATGGTATAAAGAGAAGAGCATCCCCCGCTTTTCTGAAGTTCAAATTATGCCGCTTTTACAGAAGTCCCACATTAGTACCTGTTTTCACTAACCAAAAGAAATCCAAAGAAGATTTTCGCCTTTATGAAAAAAGCCATTACTGTACTGATGTAAGTCTTTTGTAAAAGCAAAGTGGTATAATGCAAACTTTTGGAAAGCAGGGAGTACCTGTACCACTTTTTCTTTATCCATTTGTCCATTAATGGGATATTCCATGTGTTGGCTATTGTAAATAATGCTACGATAAACACGGGGGGTGTGTACGTCTTTTCAAGGTAATGTTTTATTTCCTTTTAATAAATACCCAGAATTGAATTGCTGGATCGTATGGTAGCTCTGTTTTTAGTTATTTGAGGAAGCTCCATATTGTTTTCTACAGTGGCTGCACCAATTTACATTCCCACCAGCAGTGCACAAGAGTTCCCTCGGCCCACTTTAAACTGTATTGTTTGTTCTTCTGCTGTTGAATTGTATGAGTTCTTTACATATTTTGGATGTTAGCCCCTGATCAAATATATAATTTGCAAATAACTTCTCCCATTTGGTAGGTTGCCTCTTTTTTTGTTGATGGTTTCCTTTGCTGTGCAGAAGCTTTTTAGTTTAATGTAGTTTCACTTGTTTATTTTTGCTTTTGTCGCCAAATCCGAGACTGCTGTCAAGGAGCTTACCACCTATGTTTTCTTCTAAGTGTTTTATGATTTTAGGTCTTAATATTTGAGTATTCAATCTACTTCAAGTTAATTTTTGTGAGTGGCGTAAGATAGGTGTCCCGTTTCATTTTTCTTATGTGTTTGTTAACTTTTCTCAACACTACTTGTTGAAAAGACCTTCCTTTTCCCATTGGACATTCTTGGCTCCCTTATCAAATATTAGTTGACCATATATGTGGGGGGTTAATTCTGAGGTCACTGTTGTGTTCCACTGGTCTGTGTGTCTCTTTTTATGCCAGTCCCATAGTGTTTTACTTACTGTTGCTTTCTAGTATACTTTGAAATCAGGAAGTGTGATACATCTGGTTTTGTTTTTCTTTCTCATCACTGCTTTCACTATTTGGGGTCTTTTGTGGTTTCATACAAATTTTAGGATCTTTTCCTTTTTCTGTGAAAAATGCCATTGAGATTTGTATAGAGATTGCATTGAATGAATGGACGGCTTTGGGTAGCGTGAAAATTCTAACGATATGAACTCTTCCAACTGATGAATGAACACAGGATGTCCCTCCACTTGTTCGTGTCTTCTTCGGTTTCTTTCAGCAAAGTTATAATTTTCATTTTCATTGTACATCTTTCATTCACTTCCTTGGTTAAATTTATTCCCAGGCATTTTATTGTTTTTGATGTTTCATTCTCAGTGTATAGAAATGAAGCTTATTTCTATGTATTGATTTTTATATCTTGCAAATTTACTGAGTTCATTTATTATATCAGTAGTTTCTAAAGTTGAGTCTGTGGGGTTTTTAATAGATAAGATTATATCACCTGCAAACAGTGACAATTTTGCTGCTCTCTTTCAGATTTGGATAGCTTTTCTTGGTCTTGCTTGATTCCTCTAGCTAGGACTGCGTTGAACAATTTGTGAGAGTGAATACCCTTGTCTTGTTACTGATCTTAGAGTAAAGGCTTTAATTTTTTTTTATGCATTGAGCATAATTTTGGCTGTGGGTTTACTGCATATGGCTTTTATTAGGTTGCGGCTTTTTCCTTCTACCCCCAATATGCTGAAGCTTTTTACTATTATAAAATGATGCTGTATTTTGTTAAGTGCACTATCTACATCTGTTGAGATGATCCTGTGACTGTTCCCTTTCATTCTGTTAATGTGGTTTTATCACATTTATTGATTTGTGTATGTTGAACCAGCCCTGTATCCTAGGGAAAAATCTCACTTGATCATGGTTTATAATCCTTTTAATAAGTTCTTGAATTTGGTTTGCTAATATTTTGTTGAGGAATTTTGCATCTGTGTTCATCAGGAATATTAGTCTAGAGTTCTCTTTTCTTGAAGTGTCCTTATCTGGCTATGGTATCAGAGCAATGCTGGGCCTCGTAGAATGTGTTTGGAAGTGCTCCCTGCTCTTCAGTTTTTCAGGAGCGTTTGAGAATGGTAGGTGGTAATTCTTCGCTAAACGTTTGGTAGAATTCTCCAATGAAACCATCTGGTCCTGGTGTTTTCTGTATTGGGAGATTTCTGATTACTCATACAAGCTCCTTACTCATTATTGGCTTGTTCAGACTTTTTCTTTCTGGTTCAGTCTTGATAAGTTGAATCAATCTAGGAACTTACCCGTTTCTTCTAGGTTGTCCAATTTGTTGGTGTATACTTGTTCTTAGTAGTCCCTTATGATCCTGTGTATTTCTTTAGTGTCCATTTGAATTTCTTCTCTTACATTTCTGATTTTGAGTCTTCTCCCTTTTTTTCTTAGTTCCACTAAGGATTTGTCAATTTTATCTTTTTGGAAAACCAGCTCTTATTGATCTTTTCTATCATTTTACTCATTTCTATTTCTTTTATTTTGGCTGTGATCTTTATTATTTCCTTCCTTATGTTAACTTTGCTCTTATTCTTCTTTTTCTAGTTCTTTAAGGTATAAAGTTGTACTGTTTATTTGTGATCTTAAAATGTTAATATATGCATTTTTAACTAAACTTCCCTCACTGAACTGCTTTGGCAGTGTCCCGTACTTTTGGGTATGCTGTTTCCATTTTCATTTGTTTTGAGATAATCTTTGTTCAGGAGTGTGTTGTTTAGTTTCTACATATTTCTAGATTTTTCAGCTTTTCTCATGTTTTCGATTTCTAGTTTCATACCATGGTGGTCAGAAAACATACTTCATATGATTTCAGTCATCTTAGGCTTTCTAAGACTTGTTTTATGCCCTGTCACATGATGTCCTTGAGAGGGTACCATGTGCCATTGATAAGAACGTATCCTGCTGCTGTTGGATGGAATATTCTAGAGGTATCTATCTATCTATCTCTTAGGTCCATTTGGCTTAATGTTTGGTTCAAGTCCATTATTTCCTTGTTGAATTTCTTTCTGGGTTATCTATCCTTTGTTCAAAGTGTGGTACTGAGGTCTCCTATGATTACTGTATTATTGTCTGGTTTCCCTTCATTTCTGTTAGTATTTGCCTAACATATTCGGGTCCTCCCATGCTGGGTGCGTACATACTTTATACTTACGACTGTTACATCTACTTGATGGATTGATCTCTTTACAGCATTTACAATGATGACCTTCTTTGACTCTTGTTACCATTTTGTCATAAAGTAAGTGTTTTGTCTGATAAGAGTATAGATACCCTTGTTTTCTTTTGGTTTCCACTTGCACAGAATACGTCTTCCTGTCCTGTCACTTTGAGTCTACATGCGTCCTGAAGGCTCAAGTGGACTCTTGTAGGCAGCATACAGTTGAGTCTTTTTAAAAATATATCCAGCCACTCGGTGCCTTTTGATTGGTGAGTTCAGCCCATCTGCATTTAGAGTATTTGTTGATATGTAAGGACTTAACTCCTGCCACCTTAACATTTGCTTTCTGGTTGATTTGTATTTCTGTTGCTTCTCTCCCGGTGCCCCGCGCACCCCCCCCACCCCCCGCCCATCTCTGCCTACCTTTGTAAATTTGTTATTCTCTGTGGTGGTATATTCTGTTTCCCCTTTCTTTCTTTGTCTTTTGTGGTTACCATGGGGCTTACATAAAACATCTCAGAGGTAGAACAGTACATTTTAAGCTGCTACTAGTGACTCGAATCAAGATGCTGAACGAGGACACAGAGCTCCCCTCCCCTCATGAACACATCAAAAATGCATCTACATGTGGAACAGCTGTCACTGAAAACTAGCTGGAGACTGGCAGAAAAAGACTCCTGTGCAACCCAAGTCTGTAAGAAAGATCCCCATGACTCTTCAGGTGGGAAGGGAAGAGACGTGATCAGGTGACCTGTGCCCGTGGGAGGGGACTCAGAGGAAAAGGGAGATTCACTCGGGCAGACACCCTCCCTGGGGAGTGGGAAGTTGGAGCCGCCTATTGGGTGCCCAGCCCTGGGGTCCAGCAACAGGAAGACGAGTCTCCTTGGCTGGCTGGAAGGCTGTGGGAAGCCTGGAACTCTGCTGGTACGGAGTGCATGGATTTTTACTGGCTCCCAAAGCTGGGCAGAGACGGCAGATTGAAACTGCACTGCTGGCTGACTGGTTTCCTGTGACCAACCCAGTGTGCACCCCAGCCTGAACCAAGCTAACACTCCAGTAGCATCTGCATTGTGTTGCAGCTCCACAATGGAGTGAGCGCTGCCATGACCAAGGAAGAAGCCTGGCCACAAACTGCTGTGGTGGCTCAAACCCTAAGTGGCATCTGAGCAGGGAAGGGGCAGCCATTACTGGCAATTGCACAAGGCGCAGCGCATCAGACGCAGACCAGATCTCTGACGGCAGCCAGACCACACACCCCATGCCCTGGCCCTTGCCAACCGCCCCCCCGCCCCCCCCCGCCACACACACACACACACACACCAGCCCCGCTTGGTCCACACTGGTCCCCTCCGGGACTGAGGGTACCAATACTGGGAGGGGAAAGAGCACCCAGTGGGAGCTGAGCCAGCGCAGGCCTCACCCCACCCCTGGGGCTCCAGCTCCAGCTCCTCTGTCTCAAGCCCCACCACCTACCAAGTTGACAGCTGCTAAGCACACGGTGAGAGAGTACATGGCTTAGGTTCCAGTCAAATTCAGCTCCCCCACCAAAGCCACTGGACACACACAAACTGTACCAGGGGCGCGTCCCACATAAAGACACCTCTTCAAGACCGCCAGAGGTAACCGTTTCACCTAATTTAACAGAGACAGAGAGAGATGAGCAAAATGAGCAGAAGAGTTTATCTCAGTTGAAAGAAAGAGCAAGGATTCAATGCATCAAGAGCAAGGATGCTAACAGAGATTGGTTCAAGACGGCAGAGTAGAAGGACGCACGCGCACTCACTCTCACGAGAGCACCGGAATCACAACTAACTGCTGAACAATCATCGACAGGAAGACGCTGGAACTCACCAAAAAAGATACCCCACATCCAAAGACAAAGGAGAAGCTGCAGTGAGACGGTAGGAGGGGTGCAATCATGATAAAATGAAATCCCATAACTGCTGGGTGGGCAACTCACCAACTGGAGAACACTTAGACCACAGAAGTCCACCCACTGGAGTGAAGGTTCTGAGCCCCACGTCAGGCTTCCCAACCTGGGGGTCCAGCGCCAGGAGGAGGATTTCTCAGAGAATCAGACTTCGAAGGTTCGCGGAATTTGATTGCAGGACTTCAACAGGACTGGGGGAAACAAGAGACTCCACTCGTGGAGGGCTCACACAAAGTAGTGTGCGCATCGGGACCCAGGGGAAGGAGCAGTGACCCTGGGGGAGACTGAACCAGACCTACCTGCTAGTGTTGGAGGGTCTCCTGCAGAGGCGGGGGGTGGCTGTGGCTCACTGTGGGGACAAGGACACTGGCGGCAGAAGTTCTGGGAAGTACTCCTTGGCATGAGCCCTCCCAGAGTCCACCATTAGCCCCACCGAAGAGCCTAGGCTCCAGTGCTGGGTCACCTCAGGCCAAACAACCAAAAGCGAGGGAACCCAGCCCCACCCATCAGCAGACGGGTATTAAAGTTTTACTGAGCTCTGCCCAGCAGAGCAACACCCAGCTCTACCCACCACCAGTCCCTCCCATCAGGAAGCTGGCAAAAGCCTCTTAGATAGCCTCACCCACCAGAGGGCAGACGGCAGAAGTAAGAAGAACTACAATCCTGCAGCCTGTGGAACGAAAACGACATTCACAGAAAGACAGACAAAATGAAAAGGCAGAGGGCTATGTACCAGATGAAGGAACAAGATAAAACCCCAGAAAAACAACTAAATGAAGTGGAGATAGGCAACCTTTCAGAAAAAGAATTCAGAATAATGATAGTGAAGATGATCCAGGACCTCGGAAAAAGAATGGAGGCAAAGATCAAGAAGATGCAAGAAATGTTTAACAAAGACCTAGAAGAATTAAAGAACAAACAAACACAGATGAACAATACAATAACTGAAAACTACACTAGAAGGAATCAACAGCAGAATAACTGAGGCAGAAGAAAGGATAAGTGACCTGGAAGACAGAATGGTGGAAATCACTGCCGCAGAACAGAATAGAGAAAAAAGAATGAGAAGAAATGACCGCCTGAGAAACCTGTAGGACAATATTAAATGTACCAATATTCGCATTATAGGGGTCCCAGAGGAGGAGGGGAGAGAGGGAGAAGAGGGAGAGAGGGAGAGAGGGGGAGAGGGAGAGGGAGAGGGATTTGAAGAGATTATAGTCAAAAACTTCCCTAACTTGGGAAAGGAAACAGCCACCCAAGTCCAGGAAGCGCAGAGTCCCAGGCAGGACAAACCCAAAGAGAAACATGCTGAGACACACAGTAATCAGACTGACAAGAATTAAAGAAAAATTATTAAAAGCAACAAGGGGAAAATGACAACATACAAGAGGAGTCCCATAAGGTTACCCCCTGATTTCTCAGCAGAAACTCTACAAACCAGAAGGGAGTGGCAGGATACATTTAAAGGGATGAAAGGGAAGAACCTACAACCAAGATTACTCTACTCAGCAAGGATTTCATTCAAACTTGACGGAGAAGTCAGAAGCTTTACAAACAAGCAAAAGCTAAAAGAATTCAGCACCACCAAACCAGCTCCACAACAAATGCTAAAGGAACTTCTCTAAGTGGGAAACACAAGAGAAGAAACGGACCTACAAAAACAAACCCAAAACAATGAAGAAAATGGTAATAGGAACATACGTATCGATAATTACCTTAAGTGTGAATGGATTAATTGCTCCAACCAAAAGACACAGGCTCGCTGAATAGATACAAAAACAAGACCCATATATATGCTGTCTACAAGAGACCCACTTCAGACCTAGGGACACATAAAGACAAAGTGAGGGGATGGAAAAAGATATTCCAGGCAAACGGACATCAAAAGAAAGCTGGAGTAGCTATACTCATATCAGATAAAATAGACTTCCAAATAAAGAATGTTACAAGAGACAAGGAAGGACACTACATAATGATCAAGGGATCAATCCAAGAAGAAAATAAAACAATTATATATGCACCCAACACAGGAGCACCTCAATACATAACGCAAATGCTAACAGCTATAAAAGAGGAAATCGACAGTAACACAGTAATAGTGGGTGACTTTTAACACCTCACTTACACCAGTGGACAGAAAATTAACAAGGAAACACAAGCTTTAAATGACACTACAGACCAGGTAGATTTAATTGATATTTATAGGGCATTCTATCCTAAAACAGCAGATTACACTTTCTTCTCAAGTGCACAAGGAACATTCTCCAGGATAGATCATATCTTGGGCCACAAATCAAGCCTCAGTAAATTTAAGAAAATTGAAATCATATCAAGCATCTTTTCTGACCACAGCGCTATGAGATTAGATATCAATCACAGGGGGAAAAAAACATAAAAAACACAAACACGTGGAGGCCGAACAGTGCATTACTAAATAACCAAGAGATCACTGAAGAAATCAGAGGAAATCAGAAAACACCTAGGGACAAATGACAGTGAAACACGACAACCCAAAACCTATGGGATGCAGCTAAAGCAGTTCTAAGAGGGAAGTTTATAGCTATACAAGCCTACCTCAGGAAACAAGAAAAATCTCAAATAAATAATTGAACGTTACACCTAAAGGAACTACAGAAAGAAGAACAAACAAAACCCAAAGTTAGCAAAAGTAAAGAAATCATAAAGATCAGAGCAGAAATAAATGAAATAGAAACAAAGAAAACAATAGGAAAGATCAATAAAACTAAAAGCTGGTACTTTGAGAAGATAAACAAAATTGGTAAACCATTAGCCAGACTCATCAAGAAAAAGAGAGAGAGGACTCAAATCAATAAAATTAGAAATGAAAAAGGAAACGTTACAACAGACACCGCAGAAATACAAAGCATCCTAAGAGACTACTACAAGCAACTCTATGCCAATAAAATGGACAACCTGGAAGAAATGGACAAATTCTTAGAAAGGTATAACCTTCCAAGACTGAACCAGGAAGAAATAGAAAATATGAACAGATCAATCACAAGTAACGAAATTGAAACTGTGATTAAAAATCTTTCAACAAACAAAAGTCCAGGACCAGATGGCTTCACAGGTGAATTCTATCAAACATTTAGAGAAGAGCTAACAGCCATCCTTCTCAAACTCTTCCAAAAAATTGCCTAGGGAGGAAGACTCCCAAACTCATTCTACGAGGCCACCATCACGCTGAAACCAAAACCAGACAAGGATGTCACAAAGAAAGAAAACTACAGGCCAATATCACTGATGAACATAGATGCAAAAATCCTCAAAAAATACTAGCAAACAGAATCCAACAGCACATTAAACGGATCATACACCATGATCAAGTGGGGTTTATCCCAGGGATGCAAGGATTCTTCAATATACTCAAATCAATCAATGTGATACACCATATTAACAAATTGAAGAATAAAAACCATATGATCATCTCAGTAGATGCAGAAAAAGCTTGTAACAAAATTCAACACCCATTTACGATAAAAACTCTCCAGAAAGTGGACACAGAGGGAACCTACCTCAACATAATAAAGGCCATGTACGACAAACCCACAGCAAACATCATCCTCAATAGTGAAAAACTGAAAGCATTTCCTCTAAGATCAGGAACAAGACAAGGATGTCCACTCTCGCCACTATTATTCAACATAGTTTTGGAAGTCCTAGCCACGGCAATCAGAGAAGAAAAAGAAATGAAAAGAATCCAAATTGGAAACAAAGAAGTAAAACTGTCACTGTTTGCAGATGACATGATTCTATACGTAGAGTCATAAAGATGCCACCAGAAAACTATTAGAGCTAATCAATGAATTTGGTAAAGTTGCAGGATACAAAATTAATGCACAGAAATCTCTTGCATCCCTATACACTAACAACGAAAGATCAGATAGGGAAATTAAGGAAACAATCCTATTCACCATTGCAGCAAAAAGAATAAAATACCTAGGAATAAACCTACCTAAGGTAGGAGGTAAAAGACCTGTACTCAGAAAAGTATAAGACACTGATGAAAGAAATCAAAGATGACACAGATGGAGAGAGATACCACGTTCTTGGATTGGAAGAATCAATATTGTGAAAATGAGTATACTACCCACAGCAATCTACAGATTCAGTGCAATCCCTATCAAATTACCAATGGCATTTTTTTTTTTATTTTATTTTTTACAGAACTACAACAAAAAAATCTTAAAATCTGTATGGAGACACAAGAGACCCCGAGTAGCCAAAGCAATCTTGAGGGGACAAAAACGGAGCTGGAAGAACAAGACTCCCTAACTTCATACTATACTACAAAGCTACAGTAATCAAGACAATATGGTACTGGCACAAAAACAGAAATACAGATCAATAGCACAGGATAGAAAGCCCAGAGATACACCCACCCACCTGTGGTCAACTAATCTATGACAAAGGAGACAAGGATATACAAAGGAGAAAAGACAGCCTCTTGTATAAGTGGTGCTTGGAAAACTGGACAGCCACATGTAAAAGAATGAAATTAGAACACTCTCTTAACACCATACACAAAAATCAACTCAAAGTGGATTAGAGACCTAAATATAAGACCGGACACTATAAAACTCTTAGAGGAAAACATAGAACTCTCTGACATAAATCACAGCAAGATCTTTTTTGACCCACCTCCGAAAGTAATGGATATAAAACCAAAAATAAACAAGTGGGGCCTAATGAAACTTAAAATCTTTTCCACAGCAAAGGAAACTCTAAAGAAGAGAAAAAGACTGCCCTACCGAACGGGAGAAAATATCTGCAGACGAATCAACGGACAGAGCATTAACCTCCAAAATATATACACAACTCATGAAGCTCAATATTAAAAACAAACAAACAAACAAAATCCCCAATCCAAAAATGGGCAGAAGACCTAAACAGACATTTCTCCAAAGAAGACATACAGATGGCCAAGAGGCACATGAAAAGCTGCTCAACGCCACTAATTATTAGAGAAATGCAAATCAAAACTACAGTGAGGTATCACCTCACACCAGTTAGAATGGGCATCATCAGAAAATCTACAAACAACAAATGCTGGAGAGGGTGTGGTGAAAAGGGAACCCTCTTGCACTGTTGGGAATGTAAATTGATACAGCCACTCTAGAGGACAGTATGGAGGGTTCCTTAAAAAACTAAAAATAGAACTACCACACGACGCGGCACTCCCAATACTGGGCATATACCCAGAGAAAACCATAATTCAAAAAGTCGCACCCCAATATTCACTGCAGCAGTATTTACAATAGCCAGGTCATGGAAGCAACCAGGTTGCCCATCGATGGCAAATGGATT